CTTAGCCCCAAACCCAGAAAAAAGGTGCTCCTGACACAGGTTAGTAGTAAGCTAAAGTAATGTTAATGGCATAAAGCAAATCTTGCATTTTTGCTAATAAACAAATGATCAAAAGAAATTTATTAATGCAATTCAAATAAATAAAATATGAATTGATGTTTACTTTTTAACTTGTTATAAATATATATGTATATTGTTCAATTATAATGATATATATATATATATATATATATATATATATATATATTTTTTTTTTTTTTTTTTTTAATTTATTTATTTATTTATTTATAATTTTTATTTTTGTCTATTAATTTTGTGTCTAAAAGGTATCTGTTCAGGCACCGTTTTGGCACCGGTACCGTTTTAAAAGTATCGATTTAGCACCGGTATAGAAAAAAAACCAAATGATACCCAACCCTATGTTAAACCCTGGAGTGTAATGTTCAGTTTTTTAAAAAATCCCACAGCATTTTCCCAAAATAAGTGTCAAAATAAGATTTGTCAGCAAAAATCATCCTATTTGCTGAAACACAGAGAAGGTTGTGGCCAAATTAAGCAATAAATCACCCCAGAGTGGAGGAAAACATCCTCAACAGCACACAAGGCTCACGCTTCAGGCATCAGTGTTATGATTGATCTGACTGGTGTTATGATGGCACAGTGGTGATAGCCCAGCCTGTTTATCTCAGACACTCTTTCACAGTGCAGCGTCAGGAGTTTCACGTCGAGGGAATGAGCCAGAATTGCTGGGACTGTGGATAATGTTATGGTGCTTTGGAGACATTTCTCTGCACAGATCCACATGGAGACACAAACTGCAGCTGAGTCACGGGTCTGTAGTACACTGTGAATGAGAAAACACCGATGTCATCAATATATAGTGCAGGGTGTCCATGGGGCCTTAAAGTACACCCCACGCCAACATGGGGAGAACATGCAAAGTTCACACATTAATGCCAACTGACCCAGCCGAGGCTCGAACCAGCGACCTTCTTGCCTTGAGGCCACAGTGCTAACCACTGTGCCGCTGTTTCTTACAGTCAGTAAAATACTGTTAGTTAAAATGTCGCCGGTTGATACCTTTACGTCTTAAAATGTATGAAAGAAGGTATTAGATTTCTCTCTCTGATTCCTCTATATGCCCTGTAGTGGTTAAGCTCGTGTTCAAGTCTTGCTTCGGTTATATTCTGCTGTGCATGAATGCTTATTTTCCCTTACGCTTTTAGCTTCATGCGGCATCTCTGTTTTTACGCTTAGCATGTTTGGTTTCATCCCACAGAAGTTTTCCACTGTCGAAAGATATCTGTCGTAATTTAGCACTCACTGTTTTTCCCATACAGGGATCAGTGTACCAGAAGACCAACGCCATGTCGGAGATCAAGAAAACCAACAAAGACACATTCTGGGCTCAAGCTGAGGTATTGCAGCAGACCGTTTTTTCTGCTTTCTTGAGATGAAATAACCATTTAAATGCACTTCTCAACCTGTTTGACTCCCATGACGGCTGTTTGTGAATTAAATATGCAAACATTTAATGCTGCTATCTTGTGGGTTGTTGAATTTGAGTTTGAGGATGGGTAGATGGTAGTGTTTTGTGTCAAAAATGTAGTCCATGTTTGGTTCAGTTTTTATTATACAATACTCATTCTGTGATTTTGAATCTTGCTCCTAACGCAAATACTGAAACTACTCAAAACTAAGCTAAAACTAAGCAATTGTAAAATATAGAAACGAGTAAATCTGCCTCTAAAACTAATTAAAACTGACTGAATTTAAAAACAAAAAGTCAGAACTAGATAAAAACTAAAACTAATGAGAAACCCTAAACTATTATAACCTTGGTACTCAGTGTTTCGCCGCAGTGTCTTTAAATAAATAATTATTTAGGCCTATTTTTATTATTCATTTATTATTCATGTATTTTTCATTATTCGTTTATTATTATGAACAATAATTAAGACAAAAAATGAAATAGTAAAATATAATCAACAACGAAAATGTGAATAAAACGTAAATGAAAACATAAATGAAAATGTCTTGTCTTAAGCAGGTCGCACACCAGAAGCGCTGCTCAGCGCCGCGACACGGCGCGTACATTTACATTTAGTCATTTAGCAGACGCTTTTATCCAAAGCGACTTACAAATGAGGACAAGGAAGCAACTTACACAACTATAAGAGCAACAATGAATAAGTGCTGTAGGCAAGTTTCAGGTCTGTAAAGTCTAAGAAGGGAAGTATTAGTAGTATTAGTATTTTTTAATTTTTTATTTATTTATTTATTTATTTATTTATTTATTTTTTGGTACAGTTAGTGTGATATTCAGAGAGGCTATTGCAGATTAGTAAGTGTAGTGGAGACTAAATAGTTGGGTTTTTAGTGGTTTCTTGAAGACAGCGAGTGACTCTGCTGTTCTGATGCAGTTAGGGAGTTCATTCCACCAACTGGGCAGATTGAGTGTGAGCGTTCGCGAAAGTGATTTCTTCCCTCTTTGGGATAGAACCACGAGGCGACGTTCATTCACAGAACGCAAGTTTCTGGAGGGCACATAGATCTGCAGAAGCGAGAGCAGATAAGAAGGTGCTAGGCCAGAAGTCACTTTGTAGGCAAACATCAGAGCTTTGAATTTGATGCGAGCAGCAACTGTCAGCCAGTGCAAACGGACTAGCAGCGGAGTGACATGTGCTCGTTTAGGTTCATTGAAGACCACTCGTGCTGCTGCATTCTGGAGCAGTTGAAGAGGGTTGATAGAGTTAGCTGGAAGCCCAGCTAGTAGAGAGTTGCAGTAATCCAGTTTGGAGAGAACAAGAGCTTGAACAAGGAGTTGAGCTGCATGTTCAGATAGGAAGGGTCGGACCTTTCTGATGTTATAGAGTGCGAATCTGCAAGATCGAGCAGTTCTAGAAATGTGGTCAGAGAAGTTTAGTTGGTCATCAATCGTTACTCCAAGGCTTTTCACCATTTTGGATGCGTACATGACAGTTTAAAGTATCACACACCAGACGCGCACATTCGAATGATGTTTAACATGAAACTAATCAGATGGCGCTCTGTGGCGCGGCTGAAAATAGAACTGCGTCTTGAGCCATCGCCGGGCGCCGTTGACAGCCGCCGACTTGCGGCGCCGGTGTGTGTGTATCCTGATAGAAACCCATGTTTAGAATTCTAAAATACATGGCGCTGCGCGGCGCGCCACCGAGTGGCGCTTCTGGTGTGCGACCTGCTTTAGTCCCATTAAAATAACAAACACTGAACATCTCTCTATATTTAGGCTAAAATACAGCTTTATTTATTTATTGTTAATGTTAGTTGTCTTTTACTTCTTCAATTCTATTTTCCAAAACGAATCCTCTTTGCACTTAACAAGTTTACAATAACGCGTGTTAACAAATTTTAAATGATTAATGAAGGAATTATAATGCTTTGACTTATTGTTTAATCTCATTTACAAGCACAGTAGCATATTTAAAGCTGCTGTAAAGGCTATTTCTGTCCGTCCGCATCCCGTCCCTTTGTGCCCCCTGGCGGCTTATTCACAAACTGCGGTCATACACTAAAAACAGAGCGGCAGCAATTTTAAATGGCGGCGGTATAAGCTCCGGCGGTAATGGCCACTTTGAACTCTCGCCTACTGTATTTCTCTTCCACTTTCAGAAAGATGAGGAGAAGCGTCTTCAGGAGGAAAAGAGAAGAGCGGTGGATGAGAGACAGCAGCTGGAGAAGGAGAGGAAGGACAGAGAGATGAAGGAGGCGGAGTTACGAGACAAGAAGACCAAAGAGAGAGCGTCACAGATAGACGAGCAGAGGTCAGCTCCAGCAAAGACACACTGTTGTGATGCGCAGTTGAAGTCAGAATTATTAGGATTTTTCTGTTTCGAATATTTCCCAAATGATGTTGTACAGATTCAGGAATTTTTCCACAGTATTTCCTATAATGTTTTTTCTTCTGGAGAAAGTCTGATTTGTTTTATTTCGGCTAGAATAAAATCAGTTTTTAATAGTTTTAAACCCATTTTAAGGTCAATATTATTCCCCTTAAGCAATATTAGTGTTGGATTGTCTCCAGAACAAACCACTGTTATACAGTGACTTGCCTAATTACCCTAACTTTACCCTAATTTACCTAGTTAAGCCTTTAAATGTCACTTTAAGCTGAATACTAGTGTCTTGAAGAATATCTAGTCAAATATTATGTGCTGTCATCATGGTAACTTATTACCCATGTTGTCATGAATATACCCAATGCTGCTTATAGGGCATTAAAACGTAAATAAATACATTCTAGAATGAGATCAAATGTGGGCGGGGCTTGATCTTATTTTTTGGGAATTGATTGGATGGTTGTGGTGTTCTATTTTTGAGTGACAGGCTAATCCCGCCTCAATTTATTATATGAGTGACCTTTTACGATTAAGATTCAAGCCTCTTTCACACTACAAGTGACTCACAGCGGCAAAGCGACCGCTCATTATAATGGAGAGCGAACGACTTCTGGAGACGTCTGTCTACGTGAGCGACAGCGACCCGTGGCGACCAGATGGGCGTCGATTGACGCAACAAAGTTGAGAATTTTTCAAATTTATGCAAATGAAGAGAGACTTTCTTGAGCGACAGCCAATGAGAGCACCAGTAGAGTTTACGTGATCCTCTCCGGTTGTATTTGTGCTGTTTATACTACATATGTGAACATATGTGAACAGATTTCACATATGTGAACAGATTTTCTACAAAGTCGCTGCTAGTGTGAATGAGGCATTAAAGGTGCTGAATGTAAGATTTTGACTCCTCTAAAGCATAAAAATCCCATCATATGTTTGCAGATATTTCAGAAACATGCAAGTGAACATTCTTGTTTATCTGAATAACAATGCTGAAGTGCGTTACGTGCCCGGAACGGCTGTCTTTGTTTTGTTCATTGAACCCGCCCACTGCCAGATCAACCAATTATATTTCAGCTCCTCGGGTTGCCTTGCTGGAAAACAGCGTTCATTTATTCAGAAAGGCTCTGAAAGCAGTCACCCATGACTGAAATGCGACCTCCGAAATGAGACAGTAGCAGACTCTGAAATGAGGCGCAGATTCAGAGTTCCACATGAGGTTATTAATTAGCAAATAATATAAATATTATGAACGTAAACATTAGGTGAGCAGGTCACATTGTAATCCTGTTTCCTAAAAACATGCTACGTGACGTGATACGCAATGTTGAGCAATTTGGCTGTTTGCACCAGACGAAACACAACAGAAATATAAACACAGGCATTCAGAAGCACAGAATAGTGCACTCACTGCACTCCAGCGCAATGGTAATGTTTATAATCTAATTAATACATATTAAACCTCTTTAACATCATTAAATGTGGATGCTAAATCACAGATATGTGTTGCTTTGCACTGAGTCACAGATCTAAAGTTCAATCTCAAGCGGTTTATTTTATTTTCAGGAGCTGAACTATCTGCTGCTGCTTTCAGTAGTATTGCAATAAATGTGCTGTAAAAAGGCGATCAGACTCTCATTATTAGCATTTAACACTGAATAAAGCACATGTGGTGTACCTGAGCTGATCATTGTCAGTTTTCTTTTGTTCAGCTGAAGGAAATAGAGGCCGTTTCTAATATATTATTAATAGGTGTTGGTTAGAACAAAAACTTATATAGGGTGCCGTTGCTTTTATTAAGAACACGGTTTAAATCACTCGCTCCTGTCCTCAATCTGGCAACCTGCACTTGCGTTTGTTTAGATCCAGGAGTGCAGTACCTAGTTCAACCACTGGGTGTCAACCTTACAAACTGCACCTTCAGGACTTTAGTTTTTTCCCCCTCCTCAATTTCACACCTCTAATTATAATTCATCTGGATGTAGCCGAGTGTTAACTTCTACATCATATGTGTTATAGGAAGTACCAGCAGAAGCAAGACGTGGATAATCGAGCCCAGCAGAAACAGCTGGTGAGTGACACATGCATACACGCACTGTACACTCTCACATACTCGCATACATGCATGCATACAAACATGCAAAGACAGACACACACATGCAATCACACTATCGCGAACTCGCATGCACAAACACACGCACATACATTCAAAGACATACACGCATATACATACACAGACTGTACACTCTCACTAACTCGACTACATGCTTGCATACAAACACACACACACAAACACACGTTTTTGTGAAAAGTGGGGACATTACATAGGTTTCCATTAATTTTATACTGTCGAAACCATATATTATATTGCCCCCACCCCTAAACCCAACCATCACAGGAGATTGTGTGCAGCTTTACTCTGATTAAACTCATCCTGTAGGATTTATAAGCATTTTGAGAAATGAGGACGTCACCAATGTCCTCATATTATACCTCCTTTTGATAATACCCGTGTCATACCCATGTCATTATACAGATTTGTGTCCTGATATGTCACAAAAACACGTACACACACACACACACACACACACACACACACACACACACACACACACACATACATACACGTGAACACACACTATGTGCATTTACACAAACTCACATACACATTCACACTCACTTAAACACACACATACATAGTACTTACCCTCACACACATACCCAAACTCACACTAATATATACACTCTCGTCACACATACATATACACACACTGGAGTGCTGGTTTAATCCCGCCTTTGCATCTCTGGACATGTTCTGGCATGTTTTTTTTTTCTCTGGAGATCTACATTGTTGTAAACCAGTGCATTTACATAATATTGAATCGTGATATTACAACACAGCCCAAACATCAGCCTCAGTAGCTCGAAAAGTTGCTGGGAAATCTGTCAGAAACTGTGCTGTTGTGTATTACCACTGCTTTACAGTACCTGCGAATAAGTCGACCACATGATTTCATGATTTATTAAGTCACGAAAGCATCAAAGTGCGTCAAATATCATCCTCTCCCCTGTCTAGAAGTTTGCCACCCATGGCTTTTCTATCTTGCCTTTGTTTTTGTTCAGTCTGTATAATGACACGGTATGAGACGTTGCTCATCTGAGGTTTTATTTTCCAGATATTAAGATCTGCCAAGCACCATATAGTTTTATTATGTCCTGCTGTGGAAAACCATGCAATTCAATCGGGGGTGCTAACTTTTTCACACGACTGCATTTTAGTATTTTAAACAGTCATAAAACACCAGAACACATGTGTTGAGCTGTTGACAGTGGTATATGTGTCCCACACTGCTAAAAACACTATTAGGACACCTATATTTCACTAAAAAGTGTAAATTGGTTGTTTTTGCGTTATTTCAAGCAAATTCGTACTTCCGGTTTGAAACGAATTTGTGAAGCTGCGTCACGGTCATGACATAATAGCGTGTATTCCAGCGTGCAGACTGGACGTCTGTGCCAGAGTGTGTCTTATTACGTCTTACAGTGTGCTGCATTAATGCATGAGTAAGGCTTGGTTCAAACCAATCAGCGCGCTCTATTGTGCAACTTCATTAATATTCATTACTGTCACAGTGTTTACTGTTTAGACGGCAGAGACGCCACGTTGTGTTGGCAAAACAAGCATGATGTGTTGCTTTTATAGTGTGCTACAGTGAAGTTTTGTTTTCGTTTTCTCTCTGTGAGAGCTCAGCTGGAGTCACGTGTGGATTAACAGTGTTCGCGACGCTCGACAACAATAACTTACGTGTCTAAGGAGGATTATTGTTTACCTGAGAGCTGTTCTCATCTGCAAACGCTGAGATCCGGATTCGCTTGTAGTATTCTCTTAATAAAGACGCGGCTCTAGTTGCTTGTGATTGTTCTGTCTTTACAGATTTGGCAAGTGAGCGACCAGTGCTCTTTGTTTATTCAGTTTGTTCATATCGAACTAACTATTGCACCGAGTGTAAACATGTTAGCACCACAACCAAACTTTAACCTCGTGTAGGGTTTTTACCGCATTTTGTGACCAGAATAACACACGCGGCTTTCTGACGCTACCTGCTGTGTGCATCTAAGTTTCCGGGAAATGCTGAGGGTTTTTTTCTCTCATTCGCCGTGCGGTATCAAACATTGCATGAAAAATACACGCTTAGAGCAGTTCCTCGAATCAAATATCTCATTTGTCGCGAGGGGCATGAATGAATTCCCTGAATGAAAGAGCCAAACTGCAGTTAAAGTCCAACATTTAATAATTTGGCAAATAATTCGACTACAGATGTCCATGTAGGTTAAACACCATCACTTTCTACTGTGTGTGTGAGAATTTTGACTCTGAAACTCGCGCGAGCCCAAATAGACACTCCCACACCCTCCCACTTTTCTTCCTCCGACACTCCCCCCTAAACAGAGCTGGACACGCCCACTTTTCTGACTTTTTCCAAAGTAGAGGTGTGAAAACACCCTGCTGAAACGAGGGGGTTTCATGGCCCTTTAAGGAGTTTAGGGAGACTATATCTCGGTGCTTTGGCCAAATGAAAAGAAAGTGTGATGTCATGTTATTTATTTGCAACAAAATGTGGCGTTTGAGTGAAAGTGTGCTGGTGTCCATCAGGAGGAGGAAGAGGAGAAGAAGCAAGCAGCACAGCAGAAACCCTTTTATCGTGGGGAGTCGGTGGAGAAAGCCAACGTGAGTGAGAGGAGGAACCAGACATCTCTTCTGGTCCTCGACTGAACTATTAAACTCTTTTTACTTTCCTCTAACTCTTTCTCTTTCTATACAGCACCGCTCTGCTCCTGACGGATTGACAGCTTTTCTGGCCAACAGGGTTTTTGCAGGCTCTTAAAGAGAGTCATACTTTGACTGAAATATTGGGTTCTTAAAGTCATCCATGAGCCAGATGCTTCAGCCATTTTTTTTTATTCGTATTGCAATGCAGTTCCTATAGAAACGCAATATTAAATGAGAAAACGTTGGGCGTGGCTTGTTTTTTCCTCTGCGAGCTGATTGGATGTAGTAAAGTAGGCGTTTCATTCAGTTAAATGGGGAAATTACAACCTAGCAGACTCCTCCTCCTCACCATTTCTGTTTGAAACAGAATAAACAAAAAAAGAAAAGGGCATAAAGAGATCTTAAAACCATTATTACATCAGTTCCTCTAATATCATACATGGCTCAACAATGTTACACATTTATATCTAGGCCAGGCAATATGGTGATCTTGCAGACGATGACAGGGTTATACCTTTAAACTGTTATCCTGGGCATTTGACAAATAATTAAAAAAGGGTTTCCAGGTGGCTTCGAAGCCGGCAATATTATCAGAAAGAGTGTGTCTTAGGGCTCTATTTTGACTGTCCATGCGCAAAACGGAAAGCGCAGGGCGCAAACGCTTTCAGGGCGTGTCAGAATCCATATTTGCTAATTTAAGGACGGGAAATCTGCTTTGCGCTGTGGCTCACAGTCTAAAAGGGTTGAGCTTATTTTCTTAATGAGTTATTGGTGTGTTTTGAGGATAAACCAATCAGAGTCTCATCTCCCATTACCTTTAAGAGCCAGCTGCGTCGTGCCATAAGCGCATTCACTATTTACATGACATAAAGTAAGTGTAAGTGGAAAAACTGAGCATTTCACTAGCAAACAGTTAACAGAAAACAGTTGAACAGAGCATCTACTGCGCAAGAATGAGAGATAATGAATCTACTTTCACTTTCGCTCTTGGATAGGGAAACCTTTACGCACAGACATCAATTAGTCTATAAATAATTAATTTCGTTTGTTAAGCGCAAATATTTGTTTCAAAACTATTTCTAAATTCAGTTCTAATTTCCAGCAAATGAATAAATGAACAATAATAATGAAGTGTGCTCAAACACCTGAGTTATATCCTAAAACACATGCTGTACCCCATATGGTCTAAAACCTGACAGGTGGGCAAATCTAAGCTTGTTTTTAATAAAACAAATATAAATATGGATATAATAAATAATACTGCTAATAATAATAACATTATACAAAAGCAAATTGTTATGAATGAACTGAAAAAGCCTCCCGAGATGAAGAAGACATAAAAGCAGTGATTTTTCATATTTATGTAGGCTAGAAAATAATATGTTTTGTAATATTTTAATCCTTTATATTTATATCCTATATCTATTCTTATATATATCCTTAATATTAAAATTTTTTCATATGTTAAGATATTTGCGTATTGCTCTACATCTTGTGCGTATTAAGCAGTGTGTAAGTGAGGCGCAACTCTGCGCTGGAGTTTAGACCGGGTTTGTTTTGGTCTATTGAAAAATCTATTTTAGTTTCTCAAAATAGCGACGCGCCTCGGAACGCCTTCCTTATTAGACCAGAACGCCTATGGGCGCTAATGCATTTGCTATTTAAACTGCGAAGCGCAAAGACTCAAAACGACTCTTGCGCCAAGCTAAAACTAGCAAACAAGTATTGCTTCGCGCCTTGCGCCACATTGCACCGGGTGTATGATAGGGCCCTTAGTCTCTCTAAATGTAAAGTGGTAGAGAATTCTGAAAGCCAGGATTTAAAAAGTGTGGGCGAAGAATATTTTTTTTTAGCTAACACCATTCCATATTGAAAAGCTTTTTTAAATTGTTGACTGAACCCACACCAACAATCTATCTTAATAAAACTTTTAAAAATGTTTTGTTTAATAACTAGATGTTATATATAATAGATTCTAGGTCTATTTACTCTCTTACTTGTGTATTTGGGATGCAGAACTGCAGTCACACCAATTGTAACAGTGATATTGACGCCACACAGCTTGAGATTTTGCTTTTCTGTTTCCTCTTTCAGTATTTACGCACTTATGCTGGATCTCTTATCTTCTGCCTGTACTGTCATCAGTGTTATCAGTGCTGATTTGTCTGGCTACTTGTAATGTTTGTGTGTGTGTTTGTAACAGGAAGCTGCGGCTTTGGTTTCTCAGCGCTCTGTTAATCCCAGAGAGATGTTCAAACAGAGAGAGATGGGCATCAACCCGACAAACACCGACTCAAACACTCAGTCCAGTCCAAAACCAGGTAATGCTCATGCCACCCATACACACACACTATACGCGTCAGTCAAAATGGGAAAATTATATATATTATGTATGTATATGCACACACAGACTATACTAGTCAGTGAAAACATTAACATTTTTACACAATTTATATACAAACACTATAATTATATATTAAATTTGCATATGTAAACATTATGAGTCATATGAGAACATTTTTATTTAAATTTTATATATATATATATATGTATATATGTATATATGTATGTATGTATGTGTGTGTGTATTTGTGTGTGTGTGTGTGTGTGTGTGTGTGTGTGTGTATGTGTGTATGTATGTATGTATGTATGTATGTGTGTATGTATATATATATATATATATATATATATATATATATATATATATATATATATATATATATATATATACATATACATATATTAAAAGATATATTATACAATCTTTTCCCAGTACTGGGTTACAGCTAACATCAGCTGCTTAAAACATATGCTGGAATAGTTGGTGGTTCACTCCCCTGTGGCGACCCCTGATAAATAAGGGACTTAACCGAAGGGAAATTTGTACATTAGTAGATATAATTGGTATCGTTTCAATTTTGTCTGTAATTTAAATAATTCATTTCAGTCTGACCTCAACGGTGCACAATAATAATAAATCTCTGTCAGCAGAATAAAATCTCTACAGTATGATTTGCACTATAGGAAGTAAATGCCACAGTGTTTGCATGCTGTATTTCTCTTCCTCTTTTGCTCCGTGGGTGTTTAACAGAATCATGTTTCATGCATTTAAAACCCCATATCTGTTGAGACATGTTTAATGAAAGGCCTTGTGTGTAAATGAGTTATTTTCCTCCGCATGCTTATGCTAACTCCTGAATGTTCAGTGTCATGTGCTGTTCCCATTCTCCATTGAGCTCTGTTGGTCTGTCTGAATGATGTCTGTGGTAGGGATGGGCGATATCTTATTGTTTACAGTATACCGTTAAAAATTCTCCTCACGATATATAAAATAAGACTTCTAACAATATCGATAAAACCAATGATTGGTCCGTGCGATGACTTATCACAATGTGCGATTAGTTTTGCTTGTTTACAAACAGATTTACTGACATACTTTCACTGTGAATTCAGTTCATAACATCACTCTATTTATGACTTATAGCGATTAAAAAGTATAATTGATTTGTGCAATTCTTTATTACAATGTGCGCTTTGAGCTTGTTTATAAACCAATTTACTGACATACAATCACTATAAATTTAGTTTATAACATTAGTCTCTATTTTAATTATTTAAAAATTCTCCTCACGTTATTAAATCTGACTTATCGCGATAATGATAAAATCTGTAATTGGTCCGTGCAGTTATTTATTACAATGTGCGCTAGTTTTGCATGTTTGCGATTGCTTTAATTTTATAAATCTAAAAGAAAACATTTATAAATTTAGAAACAGAGATATCAAAGTAATTTCATTCCAAATTTAGTTCATAACATCATTCTCTATTTTAACTGTTTAAAAATTCTCCTAACGATATAAAATCGGACTTATAATGAAAACGATTAAGCCTATAATTGGTCCGTGCGATGACTTATCACAATGTGCAATGGCTTTGCTTGTTTACAAACAGATTTACTTTCATACATTCACTCTGAATTCAGTTCATAACATCAGTCTCTATATATAAGTCTATTTATGACTTATAACGATAAAAACTATAATTGGTTTAATAATTGATTTATTACAATGTGCGCTAGTGTTGCATGTTGGAGTCTGTTTACAAACAGATTTACTGACAATCACTATAAATTCATTGCATAATAGTGCGTTCACACCAGACGTGGATGAAGCGTCAAGCGCAAGTGATTTACATGTTAAGTCAGTGCAAAGATGCAAATAGACATCCTGTGGCGCTTTTTGCGCAAATGAGGCATCGTTAAAGATGCAATTCGCAAAATGAGCGTTTTGCGTGTTTGACGCACTTAATTCGCAAATCGATCAAGTTAGAAAATCTGAACTTTAGCAGACATTCTCACCTGTTGTTGGTGTCCCGAGGGGAAATCCTCCTGCAGACACCAGATTACAGTTCGTCAGACTGGGCTTGGCTCAGTCGGAGGCACCGCTGAACGCCTCCATTATCCAGGTATAGTTTCTGGAGGAGTTGATGAACTCACAGTGTTGGGTGCACCTCTGAAAGGATCTAGTGGACTCAGACATGGCGCCGAACAAATCTATGCTGTTTTTCAGCCTTCTTAAAGCACATAAAGTACAGCTAATCTCTCGGTTAAAAAACATGTTAGCCATTTAGCAATGAAACTAGAGTCACCGGGCAGACCGAACCCCCGCCCGTGACACAAATCCACTTCTGTTGTGAGTGAATTTCACTGACGAATGAAGCAAGTTTAATGCGCAATCGAAGCGAGTTAACTCAAAATGTTTGCACATATATTTTATGTACGAATAGCACGATTTATTTGCGCATGCCGCGTCTGGTGTGTACACCCCATTACTCTCTATTTTAACGATTTAAGCGCAAAGTCTAAAGTGCATGGTACCTGCTTGTGTCATTTCAAGCACATGCAAAAGGGTCTGCGCACAAGGCGCATGATCTAAAGATTTCTCCTTATTCTCTGAATGAGTTTTGAGTGTGTTTTGGCCATAACGTGCATTAAACCAATCAGATTCTGATCTCTCATTCCCTTTAAGAGTTAGTTGCATCTCGCCCATGCCCTTGCCTGTAGTGGTTTTGCTGTGTTTAACTCTCCGTCTGCCGTCTGTCAGCTTGGGTTTCTCTCTTTGTCCTTCTGTTGTGTGTGTCTCAGGGCGGTTGAACAGCCCTTTTCTGTCCAAGCAGTCATGTGATCCAGAGCCATTTCGCTCTCCTGTGCGTCAGGCCTCGCCTTTACGAGCCGCAGGTACAAACACACACCCGACCATAACACACTCGGGAAGGTTTGGTGTGCCGTGCATCTTTCTGTTCACTCAAATCTTATAGGGATGTAACGATGCACATATGTGACGATTCCAAACAATTACAATTGGAGTTTATATGAATGAATCTCTGAGGGGAGCTGAAAGGTTTCCAGTACTGTTCATTTTGCTTCTGAATGATATGTATTAGGGCCCGTTCACACAGAATGCATTTTTTCTTTTCCTTTTTTATTTTTATTTTTATTATTATTTTTTTTTTAAGTATGCAATTTGGGACGCAGCTTAGCTTTTGAATGAAAAATGATCAAATTTTTTTTAATTTTTTTATTTTTTTTTTAATGAGATGCTAATGGTCTGATTGGAAGTGCTCCCGCCAAACCTGGAGATCGCCTGAATGCATTCAAAAAGGGTAAAACTCATTTCAATTTTACATGTACAATAAAACACTAATATTAAGAAGTATTAGCAAAAACTAGGCTCAGTGGTTACCACTGTCGCCTCATAGCTAGAAGGTTGCAGGATCGAGGCTCTGCTGAGCCAGTTGGTGTTTCTGTGTGGAGTTTGCATGTTCTCGCGTAGGTTTCCCCCACAGTCTAAACATATGCGCTATAGGTGAATGGAATAGGCTAAATTGGTCTTAGTGTATGAGTCTGTGTGTGTGAATGTGAGTGTGTATTGGTGTTTCCCAGTACTGGGTTGTGGCTGGAAGGGCATCCACTGAGTAAAACGCATGCTGGAATAATTGGCGGTTCATTCTGCTGTGGTGACCCTTGATAAATAAGGGACTAAGCTGAAGGAAAATTAATGAATTAGTAAAGAACACTAATAAAATGCCTAATAAAAGGACACTTATTAATTTACTGTATGAAGTCTTCAATCTCAAAATCATGAATTAAATCGTGAGTTCTGTGAATCGTTACATCCTTATTATCTTCACTCTTTGGGCCTCATTCATGAAACACCATATTGCATATTTATCCAGTATGGTGCAGTCCTAATCAGTTTTACATTCGCGAAGAGTTAACTGCTCTATTAATGAATGATTTAATGATGAGGCTCTCTGTGTGGCGCCTTCACGCATCACATCTAACATCTAACCACTCATACTTTCCTCATGCTTGCATACTGTTGGGTTTTAGATTAGAGATTGCTGTGTGTATTGTGTGTTTCTGAACATGTGTTCGCTCTGTGCATTTCATCCAACAATGAAAGACCTCTAGAGTGCAAAAGGTGAATGTTTGAGGGTGATCTCGGCTGTTCTTGTTTAATATAAAGCAGGTTAATTAAAGCACCTAAAGGGACAGTTCACGCAAGTATGATTAATAACTCACCCTGCACTTATTCTAAACAGTTTTGAGTGTACTGTCACTTTAAACTTAAACACTTTAATATAATTTATTATATTATTTTAATATAATTTATTTATTTATTATGTTTTTGCTTTAGTTCAGGGTTTTTATATGTTTTTATCTTCATTAATGTTGCCAGCTTTATTTTTATTCATCTATTTATTAATCATTAGTTGTTATTATCTATCTATCTATCTATCTATCTATCTATCTATCTATCTATCTATCTATCTATCTATCTATCTATCTATCTATCTATCTATCTATCCATCCATCTAGTCTCTTATTGAACTATGAGGTACTTATTGTATAATATGTTTGAGTCTATATTCATCTTGGCGGGTTTATTTTTATTTATACACTCACCGGCCACTTTATTAGGTACACCTGTCCAACTGCTGGTTAGCGCAAATCATCACATAGACATGGCCAAGACGATCTGCTTGAACGTGACATGGTTGATGGTGCTATATGGGCTGCTCTGAGTATTTCAGAAACTGCTGATCTATAGGGATTTTCACGCACAACCATCTCTAGGGTTTACAGAGAATGCTCCGACAAACAGAGCACCTTTGGGATGTGGTGGAACGGGAGATTATGGCTGTGCAGCCGACAAATCTGCAGCAACTGTGTGATGCTGTCATGTCAATATCGAGCAAAATCTCTGAGGAATATTTCCAGTAGCTTGTTGAATCTCGGCCACGAAGGATTGAGACCGTTCCGAAGGCAAAAGGGGGTCCAACACAGTACTAGTAAGGTGTACCTAATAAAGTGGCCGGTGAGTGTATATTTATTGCTTCGATCTCTTATTGAATTATGAAGTTATCATTGTGGGATAAGTTTTTATCTATATTAATCTGGTCAAGATTATTTATGTCGTCTCTTTTTGAATTATGAAGTCGTTAATATTATGTAATATGTTTTATTATTAATCTTGCCATGAAATACCCATGAGTTCCTGATGTGGCAATAAACAAACAAACATAAAAAAGCTCCCAGTGTGTGCTTGTTTCCATGCATGTGTGTTTCTATGTGTTCCCATGCATATATATATATATATATGTGTGTGTGTGTGTAGTGGCCAGTTTTGAGGAACAGCCCAGATCTCAGTATGTGGAAGCAGAGGCAGAAGCAGAGGCCGAGTATGAAGGTCAGACTCATGCAGATTGTTTCCTCGTCATGTTTTTCATCATCCACCCCTGGTTTGTGCCAGTCAATCAGCACCACCTGGTGGGGAAGACCTTATATTGCGAGACTCATAACTGATGATTGTTGCCTCATGCTTTGTTTCTCAGATGTTCAGGTGGTCAGTGATAAATACGAAGCACCGGTTGAACAACAGCAGCCACAGTATGAGGCAGTGGAGGAGCCGGACGCTGTATATGAGAATCCCACACAGGTCAGACATGTTAACAGCAAGTAATGCACATTTGCACACATCCTGGTCATATATGCACTGCACATATACAGAAATAATCACCCTTCTGTGAATTATTATTTTTATATATTTCCCAAATGATGTTGAACAGATGCAGGAATTTTTCACAGTATTTCCTATAATATTTATTCTTGTGTAGAAAGTCTGATTTGTTTTATTTCGGCTAGAATAAAAGCAGTTTTTAATTTTTTTTTATTCCATTTTAAGCTCAATATTATTAGCCCCCTTAAGCAATATTTGTTTTGAATTGTCTCCAGAACAAACCACTGTTATACAATGACTTGCCTAATTACCCTAACTTTACCCTAATTACCCTAGTGAAGCCTTTAAATGTCACTTTAAGCTGAATACTAGTGTCTTGAAGAATATCTAGTCAGCAGACAATAAATACCTGATGCGTGCTGTTGTTGCTGCCAGTAAAACAGCAATCACGTGCAATTGGCTACAATAACAGCCACCAACCTTAGATAATCAGATAGATGCAACTATTGAGATCTGTACAATAAATAAAAACACTTCTGTAGTCAACTTAAAGAAGCATATATTCCTGCGAAAATGGAGGAAATGGGTTGAATGTATTTCAGTTAGAAAACCTGATTTTGTTGCTATATTGCATCAGGAAAGTATTGATCGCGCTTTACTTTTTCTACATTTGTTACAGCTTTATTACGAAATGGATTAAATACATTAATTTCCTCAACATTCTACACACAATCCCCCATAATGACAATGTGAACAAAGAGTTTTTGAAACTGCTGCAAATTTGTTAAAAATAAAAAACCTGAAGAATCACATGTACATCAGTATTTACAGACTTTACCGTGAAGCTCTAAACTGAGCTCAGGTACATTCTGTCTCCACTGATCATTCTTGAGATGTTTCAGCTTCATTGGTGTTCACCTGTGGTCAATTCAGCTGATTGGACATGATCTGAAAAGGCTACACCTGTCTATATAAGCTCCCAGGGTTGACAGTGCATGTCAAAGCACAAACCAAGCATGAAGACAAAGGAATTGTCTGTAGACCTCCGAGACAGGATTGTCTGGAGGCACAAGGCTGGGGAAGGTTACAGAAACATTTCTGCAGCTCTGAAAGTTCCAGTGAGCACAGCGGCCTCCATCATCCATAAGTGGAAGATGTTGAACCACCAGGACTCTTCCTAGAGCTGGCCAGCCATCTAAGCTGAGTGATCGGGGGAGAAGGGTCTTAGTCAGGGAGGTGATCAATAACCCGATGATCACTCTGTCTGAGCTCCAGCGTTCTTCTGTGGAGAGAGAAGAACCTTACAGAAGAACAACCAACTGTGCAGCAATCCACCAATCAGGCCTGTATGGTAGAGTGGCCAGACGCAAGACACTCCCCGCCTTAAATTTGGCATCTGAAGGACTCTCAGAGCATAAGAAACTAAATTCTCTGGTCTGATGAGACTAAACTTGAACTCTTTGGAGTGAACGCCAGGCGTTACCTTTGGAGAAAAGCAGGCAGCGCTTATCACCAGGCTAACAGCATCCCTACAGTGAAGCATGGTGGTGTTGGCATCATGCTGTTGGGATGTTTTTCAGCAGCAGGAACTGGAAGACTAGTCAGGATAGAGGGAAAGATGAACGCAGCAATGTACAGAGACATCCTGAATGAAGACCTGCTTTAGAGTCGCTCAAATTGGGGCGACAGTTCATCTTTCAGCAGGACAATGACCCAAAGCACACCGCCAAAATATCAATGGAGCAGCTTCACAACAACTCGGTGAATGTCCTTGAGTGGCCAAGCCAGAGCCCAGACCTAAATCCTATTGAACATCTCATGGCAAAAGAAATCCTTTAATATAAATGAGTTAATAAAACTATTATGTTTAGTTGAAAGCAGAATTTTTAGATTGTATTTGACATGTTGTCTTTAAATGAATGTGAATGTTTTGTGCATGTTGGTCAGGTGGAGGAGCAGAGCACGTATGAGCCGGTGGATGAACGCGGCGTCTGCGCTAGAGCTCTGTACGACTACCAAGCTGGTGAGCATTACATACATTCCCAATACACTGCAGAAAAGGATTGTCTTGTCTTTGTCTTGTTTCTAGTCCAAATATCTAAAAATACTTAAATCAAGAAGCATTTTTTTAAACAAGTAAAAAAACTAGTCTTGTTTTCAGAAATAAAGCGTAAAATTAATTTGGATGGAAATATCTATTGGATGGAAACAAGACCATGTACATGCGCCATCAGTTCTGTTGAGGTTTTTAATTTGTCCACATGGTGGCGTGAGAGAGACATGGAGCCAAATATCAACACACACTCAATATGTACACTTTAATAGGTACGGCCACTTTAATAGGTACGCCTGTCCGACTGCTTGTTAACGCAAATTTCTAATCAGCCAATCACATGGCAGCAACTCTATGCATTTAGGCATCTGCTGCAATTCAGACTGAGCGTCATAATGGGGAAGAAAGGGGATTTAAGTGACTTTGAGCGTGGCATGGTTGTTGGCGCCAGACGGGCTGGTCTGAGTATTTCAGAAACTGCTAATCTACTGGGATTTTCACGCATAACCATCTCTAGGATTTACAGAGAATGCTCCGAAATAGAGGAAATATTCAGTGAGCGGCAGTTCTGATGGCGCAAATGCCTTGTTGATGGTCAGAGGAGAATGGCCAGACTGGTTCCAGCTGATAGAAAGGCAACAGTAACTCAAATAATCTCTCGTTACAACCGAGCTCTGCAGAAGAGCAAAAATAAATAAATGAACAGTGCTTTGTCGTTTTCTGGGCAGTCGAACAGTATTCTAGTACAGATCGAATGTAAAATAACATGTTCATCATTGTATAAATAAGGTAAAAATGTAAACTTTTAATCATTAATTATTAATCTAATCCTATTGCGAATACACACATTGCGATATCGATGCTCAAATGATATATTGTTCAGCTGTACTTTGAGTATTTACATCCAAACACAAGCACACCTTCAGCTTTACATTTCTGGTTATATAACACTACTCACTGCTCTATCTCTCTCTCTCTCTCTCTCCTCAGCTGATGATACGGAGATCTCGTTCGACCCTGATGACATCATCACCAGCATTGAGATGATTGATGAGGGCTGGTGGCGAGGATACGGTCCAGATGGGCATTTCGGGATGTTCCCGGCCAACTACGTGGAGCTCCTTTAACAACAACAACAACAACCAATCCCCATCATCAGAGGCAAAATGCACTGATTCACCCCTACATCCACACATCTCTGAGTGAACATGGGTCCAAAAGACTGAAACTAAAATCACGGACCAAAACAGCCACCATCACATGACCCGCGGGGGGTATTTAAACTCTCAGATTGACATTTCATACTGTATTAGTAGAGTTTTCTGATTTTTTTCTTCATTTCAAAGCTGTTATCGTTTTAAAAAGCAGTCCTCTGATTTCAAATGTGCAGTAAAGTGAGACACAAAAAACCCATCAGTGATCATGCAGAAATGCTGGATATCTCTTTAGACTGAACCTTTTCTCAGTGTTTTATCAAGACATTCCTTTCGAACATTAAAGAAACGCTCCATTTATTTTGGAAATTACAGCTTCCCAAGAGTTAAATTGTTGAGATTTAGCATTTTTGAATCCAATCAACCAATCTTCTGGTCTGGCAGGAGAACTTTTAGCTTAGCATAATTCATTGAATTGGATTAGACCATTAGCATCTTTTTCCAAAATGACCAGACTTTCGTTAAATTTCTTTGCAGATATGGCTTGGAATTATTTTTTCATTCCAGCATAGTAATCAATGAACTTTGTGACAATATCCTGGCTATAGTTGTGCAATTGTATGGTATGGCAGCAAAGTTAAATGATCATCAAATCAGAATAAGTGTATCTTTCCTAGATACATCAGCAACTTTTTTTATTTTCCGTACTTGGTACTTGATGTAACAATAGAATAGTCCAGCTTTAAATAGGAAAATTGTCGAAATTCTGGTGATTTTTGAGTGAGATGCTAATGGTCTAATCCGATTCAATGAACCATGCTAAGCTAAGCTAAAAGTACTTCTACCAGAATGAATTCAATTTTATTTTAACTTTTTTTTTTTTCTCTCATTTTACAACTTTTCTAGACTTAGAAGGGTTAGTTTTACCATTATTGAATCCATTCTGGTGGGAGCACTTTTAGCTTAGCTTAGCATAGACAATTGAATCAGATTAGACCATTAGCATCTTGTTTGAATTACCAAAGAGTTTCTATAATTTTCTAGGGCAATATGGCTAGAAATTATGCTCTCATTCCAGCACAATAATCAAGGAACTTTGCTACAGTATCATGGCTATAGTTGCACAGTTGTATGTTTTGACAGCAAAGTTAATTGATTATTACATCAGAATGAGACACATCAGCAGATAACTTTTTATTTTCCGTACTTAGTACTTGATGTAACAACGGAATAGTCCAGCTTTAAATAGGAAAATTGTAAAAATTCTGGTGATTTTTGAGTGAGATGCTAATGGTCTAATCCAATTCAATGAACCATGCTAAGCTAAGCTAAAAGTACTTCTACCAGAATGAATTAAAAAATAGTAAATCTTATTTTTTGGCTCATTTTACGACTTTTCTAGACTTAGAAGGGTGAGTTTTACCATTATTGAATCCATTCCGGCGGGAGCACTTTTAGCTTAGCTTAGCATAGATCATTGAATCGGATTAGATCATTAGCCTCTTGTTCAATTGGCCTAAGGTTTTCTTGGCAGATAATGCTAGGAAATGTACTCTCATTTCAGCGTAGTTATCAAGCAGCTTTGCAACGATATCGTGGCTATAGTTGCACAATTGTATGGTAGGGCAGCAAAGTTAATTGATTATTACATCAGAATGAGACACATCAGCAAATAACTTCTTATTTTCCGTACTTGGTGCTTGATGTAACTACAGATGAGTCAAGCTTTAAGTGGGAAAACTATCGAAATTCTGGTTATTTTTGAGTGAGATGCTAATGGTCTAATCAGATTTAATGAATTGTGCTAAGCTAAGCTAAAAGTGCTCCCACCAGAATGGATACAAAAATAGTAAAACAATTTTTTGGCTAATTTTACGACTTTTCCAGAGTTAGAAAGGGGAGTTTTACCATTTTTGAGTCCATTCTGGTGGGAGCACTTTTAGCTTAGCTTAGCATAGACAATTGAATCAGATTAGACCATTAGCATCTTGCTTAAATGACCAAACGGTTTCGATAATTAACTAGGCCAATATGGCTTGAAATTATTCTCTCATTCCAGTACAATAATTAAGGTACTTTGCCACAGTATCATGGCTATAGTTGCACATTTGTATGTTTTGACAGCAAAGTTAATTGATTATTACATCAGAATGAGACACATCAGCAGATAACTTTTTATTTTCCTTACTTGGTACTTGATGTAACAACGGAATAGTCCAGTTTTAAATAGGAAAATAATCAAAAGTCTGGCCATTTTTGAGTGAGATACTAATGGTCTAATCTGTTTCAATGAACTATGCTAAGCTAAGCTAAAGCATGCTAGAAAGGGGAGTTTTACCAATTTTGAATCCATTCAGGTGGAAGCATTTTTAGCTTAGCTTAGCATAGTTCATTGAAACAGATTAGACCATTAGCATCTTGCCCAAAAATGACCATATTTCGATAATTTTCTACTCTATTATGGCTAGGAATTATTTTCTCATTCCAGCATGTTAATTAAGGAACTTTGTGACAATATCATGGCTATAGTTGCGCAATTGTACGGTACGGCAACAAAGTTAATTGATTATTACGTCAGAATGAGTGTATAGATTCTAGACTATAAAATAGCAGCTTTTCATTTTCTAAATCAGCCTATATATGCGATGTAACTCCAGAAGAGTCAAACTTTAAAGTTAATTAAATCTAATGGTTTTTGAGAGAGATGCTAATGGTCTAATCCGATTCAATGAACTATGCTAAGCTACGCTAAAAGTACTCCTGCCAGAATTAATTCAAAAATAGTAAAACTCACATGTTTATGAAGTCATAAAACAAGCTGATTTCTCCCTTTAAACAGTGGAGCGTTCCTTTAATCAAGCGTTTGGTGCAGATGTGTGTAGTGAAGTGTGTATCGGTCCTGTTTCGCCTTGGTTTCTGCCTTTTTTCTCCACAAGATCGAGTGTGACCGCCTTGTTTTCTTGAGGAACGCGACTCAAGCTTTGCTCCAGTGACTTTAGCTGAAGTTTATTTGCTGTGTTGTATACGGCACCTTTCAGATCCAGCTGAATATCACGACTGATTTGGGATCAGTCTGGCTGTGAGCTTTTTTTTCCTGTAAGAGCTTTTTCCTGTCCGCTCGTGAATGTGGAGAATATCAATACTGTGATTTTTAGGTTTCAGGGAGCCGTCGATCGTCATTCCTCCGTCATTTTGCCTTCGGGTCTGAGTTGTGTTCGTGGATATCGCTACGCTGCATAAAAATGCTTTCTGTCTTTGTTTATTTGTCTTGTTTTTAGTCTAAATATCTGAATATTTTTAAATCAAGAAGCATTTTTAAGTTGAATGTTGAACACAACATATTTTACAGTGCAGAAATAAGTCAAAATTAAGCAAGTTTTTCCTTAAAACAAGATAAATAATCGATCAGTTGGTTGAATAAAGAAAAAAACTCGCCTTATTTGGACTTATTCCAGAAAATGAGACAATATTTGAAGACTTTAAATGCAAAAACCTCTCAAATTTACATCTAAAATGAGCATTTTTCTCAAGCTGTTGTGTGTAGCTTCAGTAATTTTACCCTTCGTGCAATGTTTTCATGCCTTTACTTGGTACTCGATGTAACAAACGGAATAGTCCAGCATTAAACAGGAAAACTATCCAAACTCTAATCATTTTGGGTGAGATGCTAATGGTCTAATCCGATTCAATGAACTATGCTAAGCTAAGCTAAAATGCTACCACCAGAATGCATACAAAAATAGTCAAACTTATATTTTTTGGCTCGTTCACAACTTTTCTAGAGCTAGAAAGGGGAGTTTTACCAATTTTGAATCCATCCTGGTGGAAACATTTTTTGGCTTAGCTTAGCATAGTTCATCGAATCGGATTAGATTCGCTGCACTACAAAAAAAAAAAAAACTCACCTAATTTGGATTTATTCTTGAAAATGAGACAATATTTGAAGAGTTTAGATGCAAAAACCTCTCAAATTTACATCTAAAATGCACATTTTTCTCAGGCTGTTGTGTGTAGTTTCAGTAATTGTACTCTTAGTGGATACAATAGGCTTTATTAATGCCTTTAAAATGAAAAAACTGATCATAAACATTTCTATCAGGGGAAAAACACCAATTTTAGAAGAAAATTTCAGACGTTTTTGTATCTGAACTCTTCATTTTATTTTTTACTTGTCTAGAAAATGCTTCTTGATTTTAAGAGTTTGATTTATTTAGACTAGAAACAAGTGACAAAACATTTTTTTGCAGTGTGGGGCTCACGTCAGATTTATTTAGACCCTCAGATTTTGAGCATCCACACTCTTTACTGTCAGTGCTGTGCCAATGCCTGGAGGAGTGTTTGAGGACTTGAGATTTTTTTTGAGAAACGTCAGACGTCTAGAAGTGATGGAGCAGTGGTTTAGTTCCTCTCAAGAGCTCATTGTGAATATGTAACAAGTCTGGACATCATTGTAACTTCAATTAAAAGAATAAATAAAGAGTTTTACGGCTGAATCAAAGTTTGCTTTGCGTATTTTCACATTTACCCTTGCCAGTCTACACAATTTTGAATTTTAAAGTTAGCAATAAAGATAGTTATGATGCAGTTTAATTAATTCAGTAGTCTAATGTTACTTTAAAACAATAAAGCATTGCATTCAATTTATAATAATGGGCATTAAAAACATTAATGGTCACATTTTTTTTTTAAGGAAAGTGGTGCATTGTTTTAATTTTGCCTTGCTTTTGTTGTTGTTTATTAATGTATATATGCATGAATGTTTTATTTATTTATTATTTCAAATCATTACAAATTTACATTTGCGCCCAAAGCAGTACGGTTATGTTATAAATGTTTATTTATTTATTTCATTATTCATTCATTATTTATTTATTTGTTTATTTATTCGCTTTGATTACTGTATTAATTCATTTATTTATTATTAATTATTTTCTAATTTATTTTCCTATTTTGGTGTCATTTGAGTGTTTCACTGAGAATGCAACTTTTTAAAGCTATTTATTTATTTATTATTAATTATTTTAAAGTTATTTATTTATTTATTCATTAATTTTTCTTTTCTGTATTTGAATGTTGATATCATTGTCCCGAGTGCATAATTGTGTTAAATTTTGGCGAAGCACCAAACTAAACTTAAATATTTATTTATTTATTTACGTGTTTATTCATTTAAAGCACATATTTATTTATTTTATCTTTATTTATACATTTTTAAAATGTATTTATCATTAATTACTTTAACTTTTTGTTTATTATTTATTAATTTATTCATTTTTTTTTCTTTTTTGTATTTAAATATTGATATCATTGTCTTGTGTGTGTATTAATTGTGTTAAATATTTGTGAAGCACCAAACTAAACTAAATATTTATTTAAACCATGCGTTTATTAATTTTATCTTTATTTGTTTTCACTAATTTATTATTAATTATTTTAATTGAATTAATTATTTTATTCACTTATTAATTTATTCATTAATTTTAAAGTTAGCACTAAATATAGTTATGATGCAGTTTAATTCATTTAGTAGCCTAATGTTACTTTAAAACAATAAAGCATTGCATTCAATTTATAATAAAGGGCATTAAATACATTAATGATCACTTTTTTTTTTTTTTAAGGAAAGTGGTGCATTGTGTTAATTTTGCGTTGCTTTTCTCACCTAGGCTCACAATTTTTAATGGGGTTAACATTTGAAGTGGATCAAAATGTTGACAGAAATGGGTGTTGAATGGTATTAATCCACTTCAAATGTTGACTAGTGTAGCGGTCCAGAAATACATCTCAGAGTCGCAGGAATGCATTACAACTGATTATTTTGACATGGATTCAAATATAAAACATTTACAAACACTTATTGGAATGTTAGTAATAGGTTTTTTGTTACCATTTAACCATATTGTAAAGCTGACCTGTAAATGTTTAAATAAATAAAAGAACGTGATCACTCTAAATATGATTGAATGGGTAAACCTAATAGTTTAAATGCTAGTGGCGATGTATAAAAATGGTTGTGTTCCTCGTGTAAATTGTGGTCAATTATTATAATCACTTTTATGCTTTAATGTTCACCAATCTCCCGGAGGGTCGGTGACCTGCCTGGGTGTTTCAAGTATACCTAGTGCAGGGATATCCAGACTCAGTCCTGGAGGGCAAAGTTTAGTTCCAACCCCAATCAGACACGCCTGGGCTAGCTGATCAAGCTCTTAAGCTGCGGTCACACTGGGCTTTTCTCCCCATAGACTTGCATTCATGCACACACAAATGCGTCACACCGGAAACGCAGGGTCATGCGTCAAGTTTCGCAGGTTGCAAAGCTTGGTGAACTCTGACCTGCGAAATCGCATCACTTGACTGCGTGAGACCAATCGAGGATCAAAACATGTGACTGCAGCTTACCTAGGCTTTCCTGCAGGTGTGTTGAAGCAAGTTGGAGCTAAAATCTGCAGGACACCGAGTTGGGACACCCCTGACCTAGTAACACCTTGATAAGCTGGTTCAGGTGTGTTTGATTAGGGTTGGAGCTAAAATCTGCAGGACACCGGCCCTCCAGGAACAAGTTTGGTGACCACTGATCTAAATTATACAGTTCTTTGATTTATGTAGGCTGCAGAACCTAGGAAGAGAGTTTATTAAGTATGTATAACATGTTTTATTATTTTATTTTACATGTCGAGTGCAAAAGAGGAGGACACCCACGCTGACACGGGGAGAACATGCAAAACTCCACACAGAAATGCCAGCTGGCCCAGCCGGGACTCGAACCAGCTTGTTGTAAAGCAATAGTGCTAAAAGCACAGGGTTAAAAACTACCCAAATTGGGTTGTTTTAAACCCCTACTGCTGGGTAAATATGGGACAGAACACATCAGGGGTTAAATTAACCCAAGTAATTGGGTTATTACTTTAAACCCCATAAATGGGTTGTTTTTTCTAGCCAATAATTGGTTATTTTTACTTAAATAATAGGTTAATTTGATCCAGAAATGCCCGTTAAAGATGACCCAGCAATTGTGCTGTTTTGACTCTGCGTCACTGACGTGTAGTGTGGATGTTCAGCTTTGATTACAGGTGTATGAAAGGTGATAGTAAAAAATTTTAAAATTCAGAAAGGTCCGACTAAGGGCTGCTATGAGCATAAATCTCATTTTAATCATCTGAAAATGCAAGGAACCTGCGTTTATGTTACACTGTTTTCATTGCATTTAAACAATTTAGTATATAATCATCAGCCCCTGCTGTCTGCGAGATGATTAGACCCAAAGAGCTGGGTTGAAACTACATAAGACTCTGAAAACAACCCCCAGAAAACCAAGATTCAGCTAGAGAAAATAACCCCATGTTTTTTCGAGTGCTCTAAGCCAGTGGTTCTCAAAGTGGGGGTCGGGACCCCCTGGGGGGTCGCGGGACAATGACAAGGGGTCGCTTGGTGATATCCAAAACTCAAATAAATTTGATTAAACTATCAGAATTACCATATTTTATTCATAACCGACAGAATATAGTTAATAGTTGCATTAAAGAAACAACAACATAAAAATAACAATCAGCCATCAGCCTTTAATTTTAAAAGCAAAATGTAATTAAACCCATAAATGACTTTAAAAAACATTATATGGCTAATAGACTGTTGCATTTTTGTGTTGTCAATAAGCTCATGTTTATATTTGCCTATAGTTGTGTCTGCAACGTTTACATATTTACACCACCTTGAAAAATGGGGTTCGCGAGCCACTGATATGATTATTTTTGGGGTCGCGGGCTGAAAAGTTTGGGAACCCCTGCTCTAAGCCACCTTGCCATCCCAACTTTCCTGTTGTCAAAAATAAAAGCTTTTTTGCTCTAAATGACTAGTTTGATTGAATAGAAATGTGATGTGATCAATGTGATCAATTGCTTAAGGAACAAATAATAAATTATTCAGATTTGTATATTAAAAAATGACAATAGGGTATATGCCGAAGCATGCTAATGGGACTTTTAATTTGCCAGTAACCTGGGTTACGCGCTTCCGGCGAACTGTATGCAATGCAAAAACTGGCGCGTTTACGGTCTGTTTTCTTTAAAAATCAGCGATCTCCACTAGCTGAGTGATATCCGATATAAAGTGGGTCTCAGATTGTACAATAAGCACTGCATTAAATTACATTTCCCCCGCCATGTCTTTATAATATGAGCATTTGTTTCCCCCCAGTATAATCAATGGGGCTTCTGCCGATTCTGACCGGCGCGTTTGTCTCGTTTTACGCTTAAACAACTAAATGAATGCCAAAGTTTATTGAACTGAATGTCTTTTAATGATGTTACAACATCGATGATGTAAAAGGAACCGTATTAACAGTACGCAATAACAGGTCACCGGAAGTGTATCAGTATGGGAACAGCACTAGCTCGGCATATACTCTATTATAATGTTTTACTCGGACACATAAATATTGTTTATGAATCCAGAGCAACTGCTCATTGCCAAAGCGAGTGTGTACTGGAAATAAACAGAGTTAAAGAAGAAGAAAGTCCCATTCAAACTCTAATATAGCAACAGCAGAGCAAACCAGCACAGACTCAAACACACATTAGAAATCTGAAGGTCATTCAGTGTGAAATGAGGAAATAAATCCACCGTCTCAGCTCGTTGTGTTCCTTAATAAACACTTCTGAGTGGAAATCAAGCCGGTTTCTGCATTTCTGAGAATGCAGCTTTATTTTAAAGCAGCATCTGATGATGACGCTCGCATGTGTGATGTTCAGGGTCAATTAATTGTACAGTTCATTGCAAATTTCCATTTGTGTCTGAAGTAATATGGTTATGTCATTAATGTAGCTGATTAATTTATTTATTATTTAATCAATTTATTTATACAACCATGTGTATACACTTATCTATGGGTTTTGTTTTATATGTATTTGAAGTCAGAATTATTAGTCCCTCTTTGAATTTATTTTTTAAATATTTCCCAAATGATGTTTAACAGGAAATTTTCACAGTATGTCTGATAATATTTTTTCTTCTGGAGAAAGTCTTATTTGTTTTATTTCAGCTAGAATAAAAGCAGTTTTTAATTTTTTAACACGATTTTATGGTCAAAATTAATAGCCTCTTTAAGCTAATTTTTTTCGATAGTCTACAGAACAGAAGTTATACAATAACTTGCCTAATTACCCTAACCTGCCTAGTTAACCTAATTAACCTAGTTTAGCCTTTAAATGTCACTTTAAGCTGTATAGAAGTGTCTTAAAAATAT